TTCGCTTTACTTGCCTTTTTTTCAAATAGTTACGTCCGATTTAAAGAGATTCCAATTTAATTGCGCGGAAGACGTAGAGGAAGAAGACAAAGTGTATGAAAAAGCCAAGTTCCTGGAGGTGAGACGTTTTCCTAGTTGTCCAATTTTAAATAATCCAGCTCGATCAGTGACAGGGAGGTACACACTGTAGCCAGTATGAGGCAAACCAAGGCACTTGCCGTAGCCATTTTTTTGTTGTGGTGTTTTTGTTTTCACTTTTTGTTTTTTGCCCTTCTTTTGAAGGACGAAAGTATGACACTGCCAAATACCAATGGACATTGCCTCAGTCATAATTAATACTTGATTGACACTGACTCTAAATGACTACACAGCCCTATTTTTTTGGTACCATAAGACTGCGGTGTATGATAATTTAAAATTACAGTCAAACCTGTATTAAGCGGTCACCCTCAGAGAATGGCTAAGTGACTGCTCAATACAGTGTGACCACCTAATACAGGTTCCAAGAAAAACAGATCAAATACAATCAGTGCTGAAAAGACATTTGACCTCAAATTAGAAACATCCATTGGCGGCATTTTAATGATTTGGGAAAATAATCAAGGAAATCATTTGCTGTACCTTGTGTGTTACATTATTTGAAACTGTATTAACAAAGTAATTGATACCGTGTGGCCATTTAATTAATACAGACAATAGAAAAAGTCCCATTGGGTTTTTCGCAAATGGTGACAGCGACCGCTTAATAGAGGTGACTGCTTAATAGAGGTCAAAATTACATTAATTAAGGGATGTGATTTTCGGGACTTTGAAAACTGACTGCTTAAATACAGGGTGACAGCTCAGTAAAATATGGTGCTACTTACTACAGGTTTGACAGTACTTACAAGATTCACCAATGGCCCCATTCTGTTCTTGATTATTTAAGTCGAAGGTGTATGGAAGAAATTAGACAAGAATAATTTATTTCATTGATTGATTGACTGACTGATTGATTGATTGATTGGTTAATAATTTGATGGATTGATTGATTCATTGACAGGCTCTTACTAAACAACTTGGCTTGTCAGCAGTAGGAAAGACAAATGTCCTCAAGGTTTGTATTTTGTGTTCAGTTAAACTACACTGCATGTTCTCAATATTTATTTGTTTATTTCTTGTAAAACATTTACACATACATGTAGGTGGAAGTCTGAGAGCATGGGGTTTACAACTGGTGTTATTAACCCAATTTGGCTAGCAAGTTGAGGTAGTAATACTGTAGTTCATAATAAGATAATTTTTTCTTCCTTTTTGACACTGTGGATTTTTTTATTTATTTACTTCTACTCAGTTACGGAATGCAAGAGGATCTCTTATACCTTTGAGCAGAAGGACTCCTGAAAATACTGTAACAAGGTTGGTTTGTAGCACAGGTATTAACTATTAGCTGGCAAATTTCCCCAAGTGACACATTTTTCATCCAGTTACATAAGAGGGGCACTGTTATTATCATCTGAGCTAAAATCAATGAGGAATGTACTTTTTAAGAAAATTAAAGTGCATAATTGAAGCCAAAAACCTTTCTGAGTAATGGTTTCTAAAATTTACGTACAGGTGTATGTAGGACTTGAGACATGATTGTGAACTTGAAGCGCTCTTTAAATCGACAATTTTACCTGCCAAGCTGATAGTTACCCTCTCTTTACTGTATATGGATCAAAACTTTGCTTTCATGACTGATTAAGTTTAAAGCAAGACAGCAACTGAAGTTAAATGTATATTTGAATTCACACAGCCCTTACATTCTTGAAGTATGTGAGAGACATTCTTCAGGTAAGACAATTTCAAATACATTGCCATATTTTTATTTCTTTTTAAGAAGTCAATTTGTCTTTCTTTTGGGAATGTGCAATCATGTAACTTACCAAATGTCACTCAAGAGGAGATGTAAGATTGTATCTAACATCAGTGTTGGAAATGAAGTTTTGACAGCACTCGCCATTCGGGCAAGTTACTCTCAAAATCCACTCGCCTGGTGTAACTTTCACTTGCCCAGAAAGAAACCCCCTTCTCCAGAAAAATCTCTGAGGCGATGATTCACAAATCATACGTTTTTCGAGGTACACCAGCCTGCCATTTCGCGTTGGGCTTTCTTGTTCTGGTCCATTTATGAGATGCCTCCCTAGGATCTGGAGGACACTGTACGCTAACATATGAAATGATAGTTCTGTGCTGTGCTGTTGCTACTCACGACAGTATTTTACGCATTTTATTTGGGGAGGGGGGGTGTCTTAACAACAAAAATGGTGAGTCTTGGTTAGATTTAGCATTCATGAGTTCATCATTCATTCAGGGGGTAGACTACAAGTAGTTCCTCTTTTGCTTAGTCTGTCGTGTGTGACGCGAAAGAAAACCGTGAGAAAAAAATGGCCGCGCGAAATCCTGGGGACGAGGAGTGCGCGAAAGGAGGCGCACTCCTCGCCCCCAGGATTTCGCGCGGCCATTTTTTCCTCGCAGTTTTCTTTTACGTCACGCACGACAGACTAAGTGAATGAGGGACCACTCGTAGTCTATTCAGGTGGAGGGATGATTTTATTTCTCATTTTATTCCAGTCAAGATTGCATCTCCCCTCACCCCACTTCAATGATGTAAAAAATTGTACCTTTTGGGTTTAGCACGAGTTCATCATTGATTCAGGGGGCAGGGTGGTTTTATTTCTGATTTTATTCTGACCAAGATTGTAATTGTACATGGAGGCTGATCGAGAGTTATTTACTGCTTGTTTGTGTTTGCTATAGTAAAGCCAATCCCCAGGCGAGTTGATGTTGCATGTTACAATGAGACTTACCAAAGGAAGTTAGAGATGTTTACTAAGAGGGTGAGTTTATCACTTGTCCTGATTTGCACCATGCATTGTTGAGATCATGTGATAAATACAGAGCGCTGACTGGAATGATCTTTGTGACTGGATGTGCATGCACCATGTTACGAACTGCAAATTCAAACCACCATTGAACCAAATCATTTCACATCTACAGTAGATCTAATCAAGTAAGTTTAATTGGCTTAGTGTGGCCGGGGCCAGCGCTCAATTTTGCTCTCTGTAACATGAAGGGAGTAGGAGTTTGTGCTCCTCCCTCAACTGATAGTAATTCATTCAGCAGTCTCTGTAAAACCAGCATCTTTGTACAGTCTCCCTTGACTGCATGTAACAATAATATAAATTTTTACCACTAGCAGGTTATAGTTGTGGTTAGGGAGAGAAAATGTGGGCCGAGTAATAAAAGTGCATTCACAAGGAACGCTGCACTTCATGGGAGTGGGCGCTAAGACCCTTGACGAACCACTTTTACTGCCTTTTAGACTACAATTATCTAAGACCACTCTGAGATGAAGAAAGATTTATTAAGTTTTACAGATGTTACATGGAGTATTTCAGTCAATATGTAACTTTTGTTGATCTCATTTGTAATTTGCAGATTAGCAAGCTAGAAGACACTGTTCCAAAGTTATCACTCTTGCGAGATGCTAAACTTAGCGCCGTGAGTAACCGATTACACATTGTGCAGTAGTTATATTTTTAAGAACGTTATGGGGCTCAGGAAGACTATACTAAAACCGTCTTAAGTTAATGAAGTTGCTCAGAACATAACCAAGGCTGAAATTTGGGCGAGAATAACAGGATAGCAGTTGCAATAAACAGTCCAAATAGGCAAGTATGGATCAAGGCAACCAACATTCAAATCGAATTTGGAATTGACATTGTCATCATCTTGGGTTTGAAGTCATCTAAAAGTGAAGCACAGTCAGCATTAATCCAAAACAGTAACTACATCTCCATGTACAGCGTCCAATACATGTGCACCTTTAAAGTCACTGTATTGTTGTCTCTGACAAGTGCTAAGGTCCCAAGCTGCAGAATTTCATGTACATGCATTGCAACAGATTTTTCGACCGTAATTCCAGCTTTCAAATTCACCGTATATAGTTACAGGGCATTATAATTCGATTTTCTTGCGATCGTGTGACGTAAATGTTGCAGAAGCCTGGAACTTAGTCGTCCTTCGTTTTTTTTCTCTCGTTTGCCGTCTTTTTTTCGCTCGTCCACAGCTACCGAGAACGTCCTCCGTCGTGACGAGCCAACAATGCTTCGCTTTCCTGACGAGATACAAAGTGTCGAGCGTAACACGATCGCTTGGTGTCACGTAGATTGATTTTCGTCAATAAGATCCACTTGTGCAGTAGATTTAGCTGGAATTGACATCAAATAAGACTCCGCTGGGACCTATACCCGAACATAGTTTTATTCAACGTTTTGTGTCTTTGTATTTTTCTTGGTTCCGCGTTTGGGTAAATTTACTATTGATTTTGATTTATTAGTGACTGTCATTGTTCTTCTATTTTACAAATAGGAGATGAAAGACTTGGAGGTGCGATTGCAATTTCTGCATTCAAAGCTTAAGGTGTGTGCTCACAAACCTCTGATAAGTTCTCAATGCACAGGTACACGTAGTTTAGCACGTGTACAAGTTTGCATTCATCTATGATCCTGGTTTTTGCTTTGTTAAATGCGTGATGATCCATCTTGATAATTTGATGTCTCCATAATTTCCACAGGAGGCAGATTCACGGCAGTGGAAGGGCATGTTTACCAAACACCCTTTGTGGTGAACAATCGGGAAGACAAAAATATATTTATCCAGCTACATACATGCAGTGTTATGTCATGTATCGATCCAGCTTGGGACTTACTGTAGATTCTGCGTCATTTAATATGAAAGTGATATACATATATATAGACATGCTCTATGTTAGCCTACGAAACGGAGCTGTATTAAACTCCATATGCACGCAAGATCTGAGTAGTCTCTCAAAATAATTCGTTATATAGACATACTATGTGCACCTTGATATTAAGATAGATGCAACAGCCATTTTCCTCTTTCCTTCAACCTGCAGTGTTGAAAAACGCCCAAAAGGCTCGAAAAAATACACAGTATCTCAGTAATTGAATAGGCCACTTGATTGAAGGCTTAAGCTACTGTATTTCTTTTTATTTCAAGCTTTTGCCGATCTACGGTGTGCTACTTTGTAGTTGCCCTTTAGTAGCGTGCCGTAGATCGTCAGGAAAGGTTGGCAATAAAGTAGAAAACAAAGCAAATGTAATTGTAATCTTGATGATTAATAGAGCGGTTCGAAAAGTAATTGGTTTTGCATCAACTACACGATGTACTTACAAAACTCGCACC